CACCCGCCCCCACTCTCGGATCACCTGAAGGAACCAGCCCTGGCCTGCCCTGCACACCTTCCCCAGCCCCGGCCTGCCTGCCCGCCCCACACCTGCCCTCAGCCAAGGAGCCCTGGGGTGGGGCACTCCCGCCCCAGTCTAGGCTGCTCCACCTGATCGTGCCCTGTCCAGGGCAGCGAGTCCCTGGCTTTCCTCCATGGGGCTGGGGCAGCCCCAGTCCTGATCCCACACCAGTGTGGTGGAGCAGCTGGAAGTGAACAGGCCCCAGGGCCGCCCAGGCCCAGGCCTCTGTCACTATTGCCTAGGGCAGCCAGCCGAAGCTCCCATCCTGCCACAGGAGTGGCTGGGGGACCTGCAGAGGTCCTGACAACCCTCAGGACGAGGGTGGCACAGTGTTTCCCTTGCCGCTGCTCAGATTGCAGCTCTGGCCTCTCACGGCATCCTGCTCTCTCTGGATGCCCTAATTTATTGCCCTCCCTGTGCATAGGGACTGCCCTGCCAGCCAGGGAGGTGGCCAGCTGCTGTCCCCCCACTAGCTGCCCGGCCAGCCTCTGAGTCCTGAGAGGCCAACTCCCACTGTGCCAAAACCAGCCCCAGCCGGCCTGGCCCAGCCCGCCAGCCAGCCTCCCCTGCCAGCCGCCACCACGGTCCCAGGCCTCTGCCTGCCAGCCGGGAGTGAGGGCACCACGTTCCCAGCTCAGTGCCAAAGAGGGGTCAGCCAGGAGGCTGTCTGCAGAGCCAGCCCTCACTGAGAGGGAGACCCCGCTGCCGCGTGTGCCTTTCCCAGGCCCTCAGCCCTCGGGCAGTGGCGCCTCCTCAGTCCCCTCAGTAAAAACCTCCATGAGAATGCAAGCCTGCCTCCCTGCCTTGGTGTGTGGTGGGGGCTGCGGACAGAGGGACAGGTGGGGAAAGGGTGACCCTGAGAAAGGAGCGGGCCCAAGCCCCTAGGGGTGGTCATCTAGTGGCCACCCCTCACACAAAGCCAGCCTGGCGCTGTCGGCCATTCTCAGAAGCCCAAAGTCCTTGATATTGGCCAGGTGCCAGGGGCCGGTAGCAGAAACGCTGGCTGCCTCCAGACAGGCAGCCCAGGGCTGCAGGGGCCCAGCCGAGGCGGCAGCACCAAGGACAGGGCGGAGAAGGGTGGAAAAGTGTTGAGCTGTTGTGAAGCCCTTGGTTCTTTGGGTCCAGATCACTAAAATTAGAGATCTGTCCCTAGGCGCAAAATGAAACTGCAACCACGAATGAAGTAGATAGAAAAGAAGGTTTAATAGGAAAGAAAGGAAAGGAAAGAAAGGAAGTACACCCAAAAGGATCTTGGGCTGGCGGCGCTGGGTACTGATTCGTTGTTACTTTTATTACTAGAGGTCATGAATATTCATTAGTGGGCGGCCCCTTACGCTGCCTATGTCCTTCCTTTAAATTTTTTTTTTTTGGAGAGATTTTCACTGTAGGGCGCGTGCGCTCGCCAGACAGAGAGAGACAGAGAGACAGAAAGTGAGAAATCACCCCCCAGGGGGGATGGTCACGCCGCAATCCCTTCTCCATTCTCCTCTCGGGATCTTGGGCACGCACGCACACACGCCCGGCGTGAGATTTAAGCCACCGGGTCCGGGACACAAACCGCGGTCGACTACGTGGGAGTCCAGCGACATAGCCATTACGCTAACTGCTGGTTCCCTCCTTCCTTTAAATTTGAATCCACACGTTCTCTCCTATACCTGCGCACCTTCCTCACAGGCAAAGTGAGGAATTTGGTCACCTAATTACGTACGCCCAGTGTGAGTCAGGTTGCCCCAATTAGATCGCCCAATTAGTCTATCGCTTTAATGACTGCAATGCTTGCTTGGGTCCTTTTGATAAAAGACAAATCAACGAATTATCCCTGTGTGCTTCCCTCAAGCCTTAAGGAAGGAAGATGGCAAATTACCTCGCCCTCCTGGCACCCGGGGCTAGGTGAGCCTTTCGCTTTTCTCTTAGGGCTGCCCGCTCATGGCTAACTAACTGCCTACCACAGGTGCATCTAGACCTTCCCAGAAAACAGAGCCCTGGTGCCAGGGCCCAGGGGTGCACCAGACACCAAGTGCAGGGAAGGGGGCACCGGGGCTGTACTGAGGAGCCTGGACCTAGCCAGAGTACCAGAGGCCACCGCAAGTTTTC